ATCTATTGAAATACAAATTTTCTTTTCTTTTCCATGTGCTGGTTTGTTTTCTGTATGTAGCCGATCTTCAACAGTGGCAAAGTAGAAATAGGTCCTATAGCCAGGGGAGGCTGAAGGTCTTTGAAGGTGGATCTATGAACTGAGCCTCTCTGGGAGACCAGCATAGACCTCCCTACTGTAATAGAGTGAGGTTACAATGGATGGTACCTTGCTCCAGCCCCATCAGAGAACCCAGTGACTCATCTCCAGCTGCCAGGAGGTTCAAACCTTAAGGCTTTCTTAAGTAAGGCAGGTGTTTGCCCTTTCCGGAGCAGCCATGTCTAAGGACTTGTTACCTCGGTTTAGGAGAGCTCTGAGGAGCTTTTCTCATCTCCTGGTGGCTGTATTCTGAGGGTATCGCAGGCCAACTTCCCCACATCCCAATTCTCCTCCAAGACATTGTCATCAAACACACTCCTCAGCTTTCTATGGTCCTTTCTCCATCTCAGGGCAGCTTCATTAAACCTGGAAAGGGGCCCTCCAGGATGCTGAGTGGTGTGGATCTCATTCCCAGCTCTCTCTCAGCCTTAGTACAGGAGACTATTTCATAAGAGAATGGCCATGTGTTACACTGGAAGAGGAGCCCTGTGCTGGCTAATCTTAGGCCAACTTGACAAACTAGAGTTACCTGAAAGGAGGAAACCTCAATTGAGAAGATACCTCCATAAGATCTGACTGTAAGACATTTTCTTAATTAGTGACTAATAGGGCAGTCAATGATGGGTGGCTCCACCCCTAGGCCACCTCTGGACTGGTGGTCTTGGGTTCTACAAGAAAGCAGGCTGAGCAAGCCATCCGGAGCAAGCCAGTAAGCAGCGCCCCTCCATGGCCTCTGCCCCTGCCTCCAGGTTCCTGCCTTGACCTCCTTCGCTGATGGACAGTGATAAGAAAATGTAAGCAGACTAAACCATTTCCTCCCCCAACACTGCCTTTTGGTCACGGTATTTCATCACAGCAATAGAAACCCTAATGAAGACAAGCTCTACACCATCCCAGAGGGCTACTAAAATCCTCCCCAAACTCTACAGCCTTGCTCTGCCTCTCTTTAGATCATACAGAAAATGACATCCCCATTGGCCATTAAAAAACATGTAATCTCTCCTCCAGAGTCAGCAGGCATTTGCTGGGTCTACAGCGGGGCACCAGTGTCTTACTCTGGGTGTATGCCTGCTGTCTTCTGGGGCTTACAGTAAAATGTTTTTAGAGTCCAACGTCCTCATGTTTCCCTTGGCACCTAAGTAAATTCCCAGGGTTATTTCCGGAACTCAAATAAACAAGCAGAACTTCAGCCTGAACTCAGAGAAAGATAACCTCAGACAACCTTTCCTCCCCTTAGGTACATAGACCTTTTAGTACGTGGCTCAGGGTGATTGCTCTTAAGGTACTTTTGTTCTTTAAACATGTCTTGACGTAGAGCCTCGGAATCAGCCAAGAAGGATGTATAGGGGCAGTCTTTCATGTAATTGTGTACAAAGACAAGATTAGAAGGAGGTACGTTTTGTGGCAGGGGCATCCGCCGACCCAAAGGACCCTAGCAGGTTAGACGAGATATATACAAATAAAAAAGATACAGGCAATAAGTGCAATAGGTTTTTATTTCCCTCTAAAGTAGCAGCAAGAGAAGGTTAAGGATGTGGGTAGTTTGTTGGGGATGTAATCTCAGGGAGTTGAAATAAGCAGGGAGAATGAAGCAGAGAGGAGAAATGCTAAGGCAAGGTATACTCATAAACCAGTTACCACTGCAGGCAACTGAGACTCAGTACTACTGGGAGGCATAGGGAACCATGGGAACCATCAGAAGCTCCACTAGAGGCCAGAGGCTGCCATGCCTAACCACAGGTCCCACTCTCCATCAGAGGAGCATTGTTTCTGGGCATGGTAACCCCCATGTACTTTCACATTGTACCTGAATCCGGCTCCGTGGCCTTGTGCTACCTTAGAGAAAGTAGAGGTGTTTCCATGTTGACCTGACAATGGAGGCTGGCAAAGACTGTGGAACCATCTATTCGAGGTACCCTGAAGCAGGTGGGTAGTGCGATGTGCCAAAACACCCCACAAACATCTGCTGCAGGTGTCTAATATACATATAATTGAAAGCTGGGTGTGGTGCACACTTGTAGTCCTTGCACTCAGGAAGCAAAGGTGGGAGGGTTGAGAGAACAAGCCTGTCTGGTCTGCGCAGAGAGTCCCAGGCCAACCAGGAGATATGGTAGTGCTTTGTCTAAAAATACCCAAGCGAAACAAAAATATAAAGTGCCTCAAGATGGGTGCACTTGGGTTACAGTCGGGGCGGGGGGGGTACAGGGCTTTCATGTGCCAGATTTCTCTTGGCAAGCTTGTCTCTTTCACTGCCATTGGCAATCGCCCCTCAGAGATACCCATGTCACAGTCTCTGGACTCGGTTAGGACATTAGATTACATGGCAGAGGAACATTAGGTTGCTAATCAGCTGGCTTGGAGATGGGGGATTATCCTAGCTTATCCATCTTGTCTCAAGAAGCCATGAGGTATAGTCGGACTTTCAGGGGGCTGCCAGATTACAGATAACACAGAGACTTATTAATTATGAAAGCTTGACCTTAGCTTAGACTTTTTTCCAACTCGTTCTTATAACTTAACTAACCCCTACTTTTAATCTGTGTTCTGCCATGTGGCTTGTGCCTCTCTTCCATACCACACATCTTGCTTTCCTGCTTCTTCCAATCTGGCTGGTGACTCCGTCTTTCTTCTTCCCAGAATTCCCGGTCTCTCTCTCTCTGTCTGTTTCTGTCTCTGTGTCTCTGTCTCTGTCTCTGTCTCTGTCTCTCTCTCTCTCTCTCTCTGTCTCTCTCTCTCTCTCTCAAGCCCCACCTATCCCTCTTGCCTAGCTTTTGACAGTTCAGGTTTTTATTACACCAATCACAGCAACACATCTATCCCACAACAAGGGCCTTAGAAGGGGAAAGGGGAGACTGAGGTGATGCACTAGCAAACACAAGTCCAGGGCTCTGCTGACTATGGGATGGTGGGAAGTGCAGTCTGCCACTTCCCTCTGTCTCTACAAGAAAAGGAAAAGATTCCATGAACAAGGAAGCAGCCTATTCCTTATGAATTTGGCCATGAAGCCCTTCCCTTTGTAAGAACTGCAATTTTATATCCATACCAGCAAATTCTCTGTGGACCCAATCATTTCTTTAAAACTGATCTGCTCAAATTCTTCTTTCCCTAAGGAGTCCACCCCCAGGACTCTTAGACCTAGGCATTATATACAGGTGGCAACAGCACATACGGGGCCCCAGTTTGGTTGTGGGATTGTACCTGTAATCCCCAGCTAGGGATATGGCAGTGCAATTGGGAATTCATGACCAGCCTTAGTTATATGGTGAGTTTGAGGCCAGTGTGTGCTATGGGAGACCCTGTCACAAACAAGCAAAAAACAAGCAAAAATGGGCCAGCGAAATGGTTTGGAGGTAAAGGCATTTGCTACCAAGGCTGACCAAATGAGTTCAATCCCCAGAATCCCCATGGTGGAAGGAGAGGTGACTGTCACAAATTTTAGGGTGTGTTCTCTCTCTCTCTCTCTCTCTCTCTCTCTCTCTCACACACACACATACACACACACACACACACACACACACACTCACTCACACACACAATAAGTTTTTAAGGGGTGTGAAAGGTGTGTGTGTGAGAAAAACTGCTCACCCAAGAGACTTTTTCCATTCATAAATATTCCCTCACAGACAACAAAACTCTGTCCCCAGAGAAGGCCTGACTTGTGTATTTCGAGGCCCAGGGCAAGTCTGAGCCATAACTATTAACAGGGTAGACAATGCGGAAGGACTGAGGCCCACTGGTGTAGTTCACCCAGCATGCAAATCTGCTCATGTGACCCCCCCTTCTCAGAGTCCATGTGGTTGGGATTTATTATTAGATAAATGGGTGGGGTCATGAGCTCTAGAATTAGTCATATTAGCAAAGCCAGAAGAATATGAGGTTGTACTCATTGTTTTCTTGTCCAGTGAAGCTTTTGAATAGTTTCTTAGAAAACGTATTTCTAACTCAAAACAGCTAGGAATTCAAAGGGAGACATTTATATTGAAATTCACTTAAATATGTCCAATGGAGCTTTAAATATGCTTTTTATTAACACATTAAATATAAAATCTGAAGGACTCGGAGAGGTGACTCCAATGCTAAGGACACTGGCTGCTCTAGCAGAGGACCTGAGCTCAGTTCCCAGCACCCACAGCTCCAGGTCCAGGGAATCAGATCCTCTTTCTGATTTCTGGGGACACGACGAATAGTCATGCTACACAGACATACATGTGGGCAAAACACCCAGCCATCAGATAAAATCAATAATCTAATCTAAAAGTGTCATGGATTTGAATTAGTGCTGAATATAAATTGGAACACACCTGGAACTGGCCGGATGGCTGAGTTGGTGAAGAAAGATTCTGGCCCGATGACAGGTTCAACTTCTGGAGCCTGACTGGAGGAAGGAGAGCACAGACTCACGGACTCCTGCCGATTTCCCTCTGACTGACCTCCATGTGTGTGTTCTGGCATGTGTGTGCACGTTCACACACACACACACACACACACACACACACACACACACACACACACCATTTTTTTAAACATTTATTTATTTATTTATTATGTACACAATGTTCAGCCTCCATGGGTCCCTGCAGGCCAGAAGAGGGCACCAGATCTCACTACAGGTGGTTGTGAGCCACCATGTGGTTGCTGAGAATTGAACTCAGGACCTCTGGAAGAACAATCAGTGCTCTTAACTTCTGAGCCATCTCTCTCCAGCCCGAGGTACAATTTTTAAAAAGATGTGTAAGTTGGAAGTACCCATGCATACTGTTTGCTTACTTATCTTTTCACTACTAACAAAGCCACATTTTTTTTTTTTTTTTTTTTTTGTGGTGCTATCCGTGTGGGTTCTTACATTCATTTCTGAAGGAACAGGACCCTTGGCCGGAAGGTGAAAACAGAAGTGATTCTTTTCCCATCCAGGCTTCTGGACCACCTGACCTCTACCCACAGAGCTCTTGACACCCACCAACCTTCAGGGTCAGAAGTCCTGGATTACTCTTCCACAGGTCCTAAAAGTAAGCCTCAATTGACTTTAAAAATTGAGATTAAACTTGGAAAAATTTTGTGCTGATTATTGATCATGGATGGAAAGCCTTGTACATGTTAAGCATGTCTTCTGCCACTGGAGACATACCTGCACCACAAACCCACATTATAAAATATATAATATAGATTATGAAATATACAAAGTAACTAAGACCCACTGCCCACCCTTCTAGCCCCAGCATCTCCTCAGACCACTTCCCTGGCTCTGTCTGTGGCTGCAGTTAGTCGGCTAATCATGGAATACCCATATGTGACAAAAATCTGCCTGTTATATTTCTTTCTGTTTGCTGAGGGCTGGCACTGTGCCAGGTTCACATTCTTTAAAACCATTATCTAATCTAATCCAAGGAGGCTGCACCTATCTGTCATTTGAATCATAGATAATACGAGAAGTGATAATAATGAGAGCAATAAAGTAACTTGCCCCGGGCACCAAGTGAGGAGGGGGTGGAGTAAGTCAGTCCGACCCAGATAAATAATCCCCTGAGCATCTCTCAACAGACCTTTGGATGTTTCTGTGCGTCTGTGAGCACGCCTGTTTCTCTCCACCTGCAGCACCCTTTACTGGAAGTGCTGTGATGTCCCGCCTCATCTGGCCTCATTAGTTCCATTCACATCAGCCACACTTCTTGGACAGGACCTGCTGCTCCCCAGCCCGCACCCCACCCTGAGAGCTTTCCTAAACTGTCGGTGCCTGCTCTGAAAACACACACACAGCAGGCTGGAGTGTCAGGAGGCTATTGTCCCCCAAGAGAGTTCTAACCAAGGATGCTGACAGTTGATGTGTAACTCCCCCATGCCCGTGTCCTTTGGGTGAGGTGGCAGTGAGGCACAGCCTGCCCTGTTTGCTAGCATCCCCGAGAAGGAGTGCTTTGTAATCACTTTTGGGGCTTCTCTCATTTCTGGTTTCACTCTCCCATCTTCTGCTGAAATTTCCTGGGATCATCTAGACAATCTCTCGCGCTGGCACTCAGTGTGCTTCTGGGGGGCTCTGACATGCCTTCTCCAGGAAATGCGAGCTGGGATTCTTTTTCTTGGTGGCATCAGCTCTTCCCTTCTCTGCTTGGCGCCAGGCCCCCTTGGCTCGGGGCACGCCCCTGGAAGGAAGACAGCTCAAATTGCCTTTCAGTGGCTTGTTTACACATCGCGACTTTCGGTTATTGCTGTAATAAATATCTTCAAATATAGTGGCTTAAAACAGCACCCAGCTTCTATCTCCCAATTCTCAGGGGTCAGAGTTCACAAGGAAAAGGTGGCATAGCGAGGTTGTCTCTGTTGGTTCTGAGAAGTGCCATCAGGGCTTGGTCCCTGTGGGGAGCTCTGGGGATACATTCTAAGTGTTGAGGTTGGCAGCCAAATTCCAATCTTCTATCCCGGTTTCCATGCTCATTCTGAACCAAGGGCCCTGTCGGAGGCTTTCTGTAGGCCTCTTAACTCTTTCCACATGGCCTCTGAAAAGCACGCCACATCTTAGTCACTGCTTCAGATCTCTGCCTTCGGCTTCTGTCAGCGGAGAAAACTCTGCTTATATGGGATCATATGATCTAACTGGAACAAGCCAGGTAATGCAGGTTCCATTAAATACCTTTTGGTGCCTGGTAAGGTGGATCATGCCTATAATCCTAACACTCGAGAGATGGAGCCATGTGAAGAAAACTTGGAGGTTCTGGCTACATAGCAGCCAGGGTGACATTGACAGAAACCCAAGGGCTGGAAATGCTCAGCAGTCAAGTATCCAGCATCCTCAAGGTTCTGTTTGCTCTCTAGCCCTGCAAAAACGAACTTTCTTCTGCAAGGTCCCTTTTGTCCTGTAACATATTTATAAACCGAGGGTAGGGTGGGGTGGGTGGGCAGAGACATTTCGGGTTGTTCTGGTTTCTACACTCATCTTCCTTGTGTACCAATAATCTCTTTCTCGTAATGAAACCACTGAAAACTCCATGAGCTAAACTAGCAATTATTTTGTGTCCTTATAATTCTGTGGTCAAGGCTGAGCTCAGCTGAGTAGTTTTTCCCCCTGTTCTTGCCTGGGTTTGCTCATGCGGCTGCATTCACTGAGGACCCAACCCTTTTACCTCGGGCCTAGCCTCGCCT